AATAATTGTAGAATACTATATAATCAAGATAAATACCAAAATCTAGGATACAATTGTGGACATTTATGTTTGCAGTTCTTGATTCAATAAATTTGTAAGCAAAACTAGTTTTTTATTTAGTCATGAGTCGAACCTTCACACTAAAAGGTCACGGTAGCTTCCTAGAAGCTGATTTATATCCACCTGTGGAATTAAATCCTAATTACGATTATTGTTTGGGATTAATAGGATTATTCACATATAATAGCATACCTAACGTCGAAACCGGAGTAAATGATAAACTTTATTATTATTATTCTTCATCGTCGTCAAACTCGAAAGAGAAAGAAGATGTGGATCTAAAGAAATTAATTATTCCGACAGGTAGCTATGAAATAAGCGATCTGGAACGTTACATCCAAGAACATATCAATGGATCGACTAAAACATCGAGAGATCAAATTTTTTCGTTGAAACCGAATAATAACACATTGAAAGCAGAACTACAAAGTATCTACAATATTGATTTTGGTAAAGAAGGGACACTAGGAAATTTATTGGGTTTCTCTAAAAAAGTATTAGTAGCGAATACAAAACACGAGTCTGATATGCCTGTAAATATTATTAAAGTAACGTCAATTCGAGTGGAATGTAACATTGTGACAGGTTCATTTTACGCTGGCCTACCTTGTCACACCCTCTATGAATTCTCTCCAACAGTAGATCCTGGATATGCCATAAATATCGAACCAATGCATCCTTTATATTTGCCATTAATTAACAAAAACGTCATTGATAAAATAACCATCAAACTGATCGATCAAAACTCAGATCCCGTCAACTTTCGTGGTGAAGAAGTAGTGGTCCGATTGGAATTAAAAACTATTAATGGGTCTTACATTTCGCAATAACACACGTAATATAAATAAGAAGTCATTTAGGATCGCATCTTTAGTTGACAGATATTCGCCAGTGAAGACACTATCACCGTACAGCGTTTACATTCTACGTTCCTTGGGTTACAATGTCAGAAATTTTGGATATCTATCAATCCCCCTCAATAGACCAAAGCGTAGATAGAGAAGAGGAACGTACTTATTATCCTTACGTGCAATCGTTTAATAACAGTGATGAGATACAAATTGACATTCATCAACCTGATGCATTTATTTGCATGAGTGATTCGAAACTTCGCATTATTGGCGAACTAAAAGAAGAAGCAACTACTACAATACCTGTTGCTATAGAAAGTGAAAAAACAGAAACCCCTGTTGCGGGAGAATGTAAATTAACAAATAATGCAGGTCTTTACCTGTTTGAATCCATAATTTACTCTTTTAATGGCAAAGAAGTTGAAAAAATAAGAGATCCTGGTACTACAACAACCATTCATAATTATTGTGCTTATTCAGCAAATCAGTCTAAGAATCTTATACAAGCCGGTTGGAATCCAAATGCAACAGGCCATACAATACTTACCCAAGACGAAAAAACCAAGAAATTTGAAATATGGGTGCCATTTAGTTATATTTTTGGTATATTCTTTTACTATAGAAACGTTATGTTTGGACATCATTCTATACGACTTGTACGCAGTCGCAATGATGATAACGCGTATATGGTCACTGGAAGTGCAAAGAAAGCAACCATAAAAGTGCATAGCGTGTCGATACAAGCAAAGCACATTTATCCCAGCGACAAAGCGAAAATAACGCTATGGCCGAAAATTCAAACCGATAAACCTATAACTATAGGTTACAGAAAATGTGAACTTCATGAATTACCAAAGTTAAAAACAGGCACTGACAAAGAAATTTGGAGTATTAAAACAACGACAAATTTGGAAACGCCCAGATACATCGTCCTCGCATTCCAAACAAACATAAAAGACAATCATAAAAAAGATGTTGCGAAATTCAGCCATATTAACTTGAGAAAATATCAAGCATGGGTGGGTTCAAGTGTTTATCCTTATGCAGATCATAGTCTCGATTTTACATCTAATCAGTATCTATCAGCATATACGGCATATATGAATTTAGTGCAACAGTTGACTGGAAATTCTGCTGCCGATCCAATAATTGACTACTCTACTTTTGCCAACACACCTCTGTTTGTAATTGATTGTTCAAAACAACCTGAACCTCTGAAAGCGTCAGTGGTAGACATAAAGTTAGAATTTGAAAGTCATGAAAATTTTCCCGAATCGACCAAGGCTTATTGTTTAATTATACACGATAAGATAATTGAATATAGACCTAAAAGTGAAAAAGTGCAATTCTTAATATGAAAAAAAGTGTTAGTTTCTCTGAAGCACCTCCAACTATTCATTATATGTGTCATTGGTCATACGCTTACTCTCAAGCCAGAAGAGGTGATAAATGGATACAATGTGCTGCTGATAGAGATAGATTTCGTTTACGTATTCTGAGGACTAAACAAATTTTAAATCCTGTATTAAAAGTTGAACACAGATCGAAAAAATTTATCAGTCTTGGTTTGACAGTCTGAACAAGATGAAGTTTCTGGTAATAGATATGCAGGGATTTTGTATTCCTGAATTTATACCGAAGGAGATGACATTCACGGATGGTCGGTATGTAGCGCATTATTGGATTAAATCACTCAAGCCGTTTAAAGATCTTGATCCGAAAATTAAAAAACATATACGATGGTTCGAAAACAATCATCATCATCTGAGATACAACGACGGCATCGTAGATTCTAACGAGGTCCCGAATATTTTATACAAACATATTATACAGGATCAAGTAGACACGGTCTATGTAAAAGGACACATCAAACAACACTTTCTCCAATTCAACCTTGGACAATATAATGGAATTCGTCTAATAAATTTGGAAAACACACTGGACGTTCCACACCTTCTTCAGTGTATACCGTACAATTGTACGCACCACATAAACGGACAGAAAACAGCATGTGTATGTAGTTACGAAAATTGTAAGACTATATACAATTGGTTGATTGGAAAATTACCTTAAATAAAATTGTTTGTGGAACTTAATATTGAAGTTTTTTTTTTTGTTGACATGTGCAGAGTTTTTGTTATCTTAGAAAAAGTTAGTACTTACGGTCTATTATTTTATCAGCTTGATTCAAATGAACATTTGTGTTAGTTTACGTTCAGCCATGGACGAAGGTGCTTGCATTTCAAGCATGCACCGTGATAAAAGTGCTAGTGAATACACAACATGCGATTGTCCTACTTTTGCGAAAGCAAGAAATAACGTTAACAGCATCAATTTCGATTCCCGTACTATTTCGATAGATGATGACTTTCCGTTACTTGATCGAGACGACGAATTAAATCATGAGAAAAATTCGATATTTGAAGAAAAATATGAATTGACGAATCCCTTATTTCGCATTTCTACTGGCTTAAGTGTTGTGCTAGATTTTTTACATGTCGTAAAAATTCTGAACTGGCAAAATCGTTGTGTAACATTTACTACAGAAAACTGGAAGTGTTTTGTGCAGTTTTTGAATATTTTAATTAAAATACATTTTGAAACATCGAATTTGGACTGTGATGCTCCTAAGAAATTTCAGTTCGACGGTTTCGAATTGAACATTGCAACATCACATGATTTTTGCAGTGGACCAACAGTCATCGAATTGAGAAGAGGCGATACGGTTTTACATTTAGGACCAGCGCTTTGCCGTGAAATCATAGCATTAGACGAAACAATATGTTATAGATTAAAATTCTTAGAAGAGTTACAATTTTGTAATTTTTATAATAATATGATTCGTTACTTAAAATATGTCCCATCTGAAAAAATTTATTATGCTACGACTGCTAATTTACACTGCATGAAAGAACTGCTAGCACAGCGAAGTTTCAAGGTTTTTGCAGATCTCGCATCAACCGATTAATATTAAATTTAGATTTTTGTTAACATATATATAACAAATGTAATTTTCAAAATTACCAGCACGGAAAAGTTTCAAGTTTTTTTCTGATCTCGCATCGAACGATTAATAATAATTATTAAATGTATTATTTCAGCGTTTTTCCTGCAGACATGTACTATTCAAGAATTTGTAGGCTGAATGATAAAATAAATAAATGAATAAAAAATAAATAAAAGCGTCTTTGTTTTAATTCCCTACCACAATAATGAATAACAATAATAATAGAGCTATCTATTCATATTCGCGACTCACTTGCGTGCAGTACCTACGTGTGAAATCTTAACTCTCATATCAGCGAAAATATAAAATGGCTGCTAGTTTGAATGAATTGAACAAAATTGGGAAATGTGAAACTAAACCGAAATTAAATCCCGATGAGCTAAAGATTGGTGAGAAATACCCGATTTGTGATGTGAAAAAAGTTAAAGGAAAATTTGGTGATTGTGTCCTTGTGGAACTCGAAGAAGGTGTCATATTTTTACCAAAAAGGATGGCAGATAATATGTCCGATGACTTGATCGAATCTATCCATGAGGACGTTCTTTGTTTGGCTTTGGTATATCATGGCACCAAGGACACTGGAAAGAGCAACCCAGCGCATCTCTACGAAATCGTGCAGATATAAAACAGCTCGTAACAATATAATTATTATCAATTTATATTTAATCAGCATTATTAGTGTTAGTACTTAGTGGTGTTTTTTTTTTCACAATGGAATCAGCTACAACAGAAGTAATCGAGAAAATGATCGATTCTGTTACCAAAATGATCTACGAATCGTGAATGGTGTATTGCGAAATTCTGACTGTGTTGGGGAGAAAAGAAGATTGGAAAATTATTTAGCACGTATCAAAGGATTAAATTTACATATCGAATCAAAAATCGAGAATGAAAAAATTGGATACGGTAATAGTAAAAAGAGAAGAAACAGTAAGGTTCGCTGGATAGAGGTAAGTTTTATTCATTCCCCTTAGTATCAAATAAGAAACATTAATTTTACTTAGGTAAAATCAGCTTTCGTCGGTCGCGTGAGAACAGGAGCAGTTGTTAATTTAGATGAGAATCTTGTTGATATTCGTCGATTTTTTCACGATGCCAGCCCGTTAATTTTTTCAAGAATCACAAATATTCTCAAAAAGATGACAGCGATTAAACTAAATTTCGAGATGTCTTGTGAATACATAATTCCATCGACAGGAGAAGTGTCCCTGAAGTATTTCAACACACCCAACACTATGATTTTATTATCGACCGACATTCAGAAATCTATTGACGATTTAGCTGGAATTATTCAAACCAAAGTAAGTTATTTAGATTTTTTTTTTCACTTAATAACAAGGTATGGTATTATTACAGATGGAAGAATTCGCAGAATCTAAATCTGGATGGAGTCTACGGAAAATATGTCAGCTAATGGTTGCGTTCAACAAGTACACTCCAATAAACGGCCGAATCTACATACCGTTGCCAACAGAATTGAAAAAGAAAGGAGGCATTATTAATATAATGAATACTGATCGTCTTTGTTTTGTATGGTCGGTACTTGCAAGTCTTTATCCCTGTAAAGATAGTAATTATGAACGTACTGATGCCTATCCGCAGAACTATCACGATATATTAAATTTACGTGGTGTACAAATGCCTGTTCAGTTATCAAGTATTCCTAAATTTGAAGCTCAAAATTCTAACATATCAATTAACGTGTTCACGGTCAATGACAAAACGCATGAAATTGAAGGCCCTATATATCATACAAAAAATGTAAAAAACCATCACATAAATTTATTATATTTAAAAAAGACTCGATCCAAACATGGCCATTATTGTCTTATTAGCGACTTAAGTAAAGTTTGTGGAAGAAATATTTCGGCTCATAAAGCGAAAATGTTCATTTGCGATAGATGTTTAAATCATTTCTCCCTTAAATCACATTACGAGTCGCATCAGCAGGATTGTAAATTATTTTCTCCAGTTAAGATTACTTTACCTGATGAATCTAGTGCTCATTTAGAATTTTCAAATTACAAAGCGCTTCTTAAAAAAGGTTTTGTTATTTATGCAGATTTTGAATGTTTGTTAATTAAAGGTAATGATCATCCGATGAAATATCGACATATACCTTACAGTGTAGCGTTCACGAGTGTCTGTTCTTTTGACAATAGTTTAAATACATTCTTTAGTTATATTGCCAGTTCACCAAATGATCAAACACCGGCTTCTTGGTTCATTGCAAAACTTCAGAAAGAAATTAACAAAATGACGCAAATTCTACGCTCGCGAGATTTGCCAATGTTGCCCCTTTCGGACGAGGAAAAATTAAATTATAATTCGTCAATGGAATGTCCTATCTGCGGTCGCGTTTATTGCGAAACCAATCCAAAAGTCCACCATCATGATCATCTTACAGGGAAATATATAGCACCGTATTGTCAAAATTGTAATTTACAATGCAAAAAAGATTATAGTATACCCGTTTTTTTACATAATCTTAGTGGGTATGGCGCTCATCTTTTTATTGAGGAATTGGCTCGTAGTAATTATGTCAATTTGGTACCATTAAATATGGAAAAATATATTGGATTTTCGACTTATTTCAATCAAACTCGAGTTACATTTTTAGATTCATACAGGTTTTTATCTTCGTCCTTAGATTCTCTTGTTAAAAATCTAACTCCCGATCAACTTTTAATTACAAAGTCATATTTTTCTGATGTAAAAAGTTTTCCATTGTTAACACGAAAACAAGTGTTTTGTTACGAGTACTTAGATTGTTGGGATAAATTATCGAAAACGAAACTGCCTGAAAAACATTATTTTTATAGTAGTCTGCACGATGAACACATATCAGACGAAGATTATGCTCACGCTAAACTAATATGGGATGAATTTTCTATTAAAAATTTAAGTGATTACGCCCTGTTTTATTTGAAACTCGACGTATTGCTTTTAGCTGACTGCTTTGAAAATTTTAGAAATCTGACTATGAAGTATTATGGACTCGATGCTGCCGGTTTTTTTACAGCACCTGGCTTATCATGGGCTGCTGCTTTGAAAATGACACAAATTAAACTCAGATTATTCACAGATATCGATATGACCCTTTTCATTGAAAAAGCTTTAAGAGGTGGTATATCACAATCTATATGTCGATATTCAAAAGCCAATAATAAGTATTGTTCGTCATATGATCCAAATTTGGATACTAAATATCTAATTTATTGGGACGTATGTAATCTTTACGGATGGGCACAGTGCCAGAGTTTACCATACGATCATTTTAGGTGGTTAGATAATTTCGAAATTGAAAGTCTAGATATAAATACATGCTATGCAAACACTGCTGATAAATGTTGTATTTTAGAAGTTGATTTGGAATATTCGCAGTCTCTTCATGATTTACATGAACAATTACCATTTTGTTGTGAACATCAGATGCCTCCTAATTCGCAAAATAATTCAGAGAAATTATTATGCACTTTATGCGACAAAACTAAATACGTAATTCATCTTGAGAACTTAAGACAAACAGTGCATTTCGGTCTGAAAGTGATAAAAATACATCGTGTTTTAGAATTCTCACAAAAACCTTGGTTAAAGCCATATATAATGTTCAATACTGATTTACGAATGCAAGCCAAATCTGCTTTTGAAAAAGACTTTTTTAAATTGATGATAAATGCCAATTATGGCAAAACACTGGAAAACGATCGAAAGAAACGTAAAATAAAACTAGCAAACAATTGGTTTACCGCTAGAAAATATATCTCTTTGCCAGAATTTAAGTGTTCGCAAATTATAAACGAAGATTTGGTTGTTGTTGAATTGAATAAAACAACTATAAATTTCGAGAAGCCGATTTACGTAGGATTTACAATTTTAGAATTATCAAAAACGTTAATGTACGATTTTCATTATAATTTTGTCAAAAAAGACCTATCAAATTGGTTCGCTTCCAAATTATTATATATGGATACCGACAGTTTCATTTACGAATTTACAACTTTACGTAAAGAAGATACAACCGATATTTATCATATAATTCGAGATTACGCATCTTTGTTATTTGACACTTCAGATTTGCCTGTCGATAATCAGTGGGGTATTCCACAAGTGAATAAAAAGGTACCAGGAAAATTTAAAGATGAACTATGTGGTAAAATAATGACCGAATTTGTATCGCTTAAATCAAAAGTGTACGGCTTCAAAATCGACGGAAAAGATAGTAGCGTTCGAAAACTTAAAGGTGTTGGTAAAACAGCCATAAAGCATATTACGTTTGATGACTTTTATAAATGTTTATTTAATGAAGTAAATCAGAATTGCACTTTTAATACAATCCAGTCGAAAAACCACCAAGTTTTTACCGTAAAAATTCATAAAAAAGCACTCGATTCATCGGACAATAAACGATATATATTACCCAATAATGTAGTTGAAACTTTGCCTTGGGGTCATTATAAAATTGTCAACGAATGAAAAATATATAACTTTTTTTTTCATAAGAAGCTGATTCTGTATGTGTTGAAATATTTTCTTTTTTGTTATGATTTATAATACATATACCTGTAACCTATATTATCAATAAATAATCAACAAATTATGGAGGTTTTTTTTTCTCTGATTTGTATGTTATAAATGGTGCATGCGAAATTTAGAAACACCACATACACTTCCTGTACACGGCCACACGCTTTGTGTTAAGAAAATTTGGGGACGCTCATTTGAAATATTTTGGTTCATTAATAAATTATGACCGTATTTAATGAGTCATTCCCTTGATTTTCCTAACACAGTGGTTGCAGGAAAAGGCCGACTCGGCGGCCCCTCCTCCACTCGAGGTCATACAAACACACACGCATAAATACGATTGACAATACGCTCCATTCAGGGTCCCTGCGATAGTCGAGATGCCGAGGTGACGGTTAGCACGAGATCGGACGACGTTCGATTCCCGCATAAAGACGAGGAAAAAAAACTTTTTTTCATAAATTTAAAAATTGAGCGCCGCGCGATACAGCGGTGGCGCCATCTTCCATCCTGCGCGCGCACCACACACACCTCTCCATTACAACAATAAGCGAGAGCGAGACGACAAACAGGGATCCAAAAACGCCACGTGTTAGACAAGGAGAGCGATACCGTTTCAGTAGACCGGAAGTCCATAAGATTTACACGGAGCTTGTGTGACGTCAGCCCCATTTATTAACTACTGATTGGCTTAAAAGTACAAGAAAACACTTCAAAAGTGACGTTTCTGAAGAATTTTAACAGTTTTCTTGTATCTACGAACGCCAGAATGCATAAAATTGACCTAAACGTCTCCTTTTCCTATTCTGAGTCGATTCTGCATGCTTTAAGTGTGTTTGGTGGCTCAGAACCATCAAAAAACGTTGAAATATAGTTCAAATTCAATAAAAATCGACAAAAATACAGTTTCTAGCTAAAATTTGATGGTTTCGTTGCACTTTCCGAGCCCGTGGGGTATCTGATTGGCTTAAAAGTACAAGAAAACACTTCAAAAGTGACGTTTCTGAAGAATTTTAACAGTTTTCTTGTATCTACGAACGCCAGAATGCATAAAATTGACCTAAACGTCTCCTTTTCCTATTCTGAGTCGATTCTGCATGCTTTAAGTGTGTTTGGTGGCTCAGAACCATCAAAAAACGTTGAAATATAGTTCAAATTCAATAAAAATCGACAAAAATACAGTTTCTAGCTAAAATTTGAAGGTTTCGTTGCACTTTCCGAGCCCGTTGGGTATCTGATTGGCTTAAAAGTACAAGAAAACACTTCAAAAGTGACGTTTCTGAAGAATTTTAACAGTTTTCTTGTATCTACGAACGCCAGAATGCATAAAATTGACCTAAACGTCTCCTTTTCCTATTCTGAGTCGATTCTGCATGCTTTAAGTGTGTTTGGTGGCTCAGAACCATCAAAAAACTTTGAAATATAGTTCAAATTCCATAAAAATCGACAAAAATACAGTTTCTAGCTAAAATTTGATGGTTTCGTTGCACTTTCCGAGCCCGTAGGGTATCTGATTGGCTTAAAAGTACAAGAAAACACTTCAAAAGTGACGTTTCTGAAGAATTTTAACAGTTTTCTTGTATCTACGAACGCCAGAATGCATAAAATTGACCTAAACGTCTCCTTTTCCTATTCTGAGTCGATTCTGCATGCTTTAAGTGTGTTTGGTGGCTCAGAACCATCAAAAAACGTTGAAATATAGTTCAAATTCAATAAAAATCGACAAAAATACAGTTTCTAGCTAAAATTTGATGGTTTCGTTGCACTTTCCGAGCCCGTAGGGTATCTGATTGGCTTAAAAGTACAAGAAAACACTTCAAAAGTGACGTTTCTGAAGAATTTTAACAGTTTTCTTGTATCTACGAACGCCAGAATGCATAAAATTGACCTAAACGTCTCCTTTTCCTATTCTGAGTCGATTCTGCATGCTTTAAGTGTGTTTGGTGGCTCAGAACCATCAAAAAACGTTGAAATATAGTTCAAATTCAATAAAAATCGACAAAAATACAGTTTCTAGCTAAAATTTGATGGTTTCGTTGCACTTTCCGAGCCCGTAGGGTATCTGATTGGCTTAAAAGTACAAGAAAACACTTCAAAAGTGACGTTTCTGAAGAATTTTAACAGTTTTCTTGTATCTACGAACGCCAGAATGCATAAAATTGACCTAAACGTCTCCTTTTCCTATTCTGAGTCGATTCTGCATGCTTTAAGTGTGTTTGGTGGCTCAGAACCATCAAAAAACGTTGAAATATAGTTCAAATTCAATAAAAATCGACAAAAATACAGTTTCTAGCTAAAATTTGATGGTTTCGTTGCACTTTCCGAGCCCGTAGGGTATCTGATTGGCTTAAAAGTACAAGAAAACACTTCAAAAGTGACGTTTCTGAAGAATTTTAACAGTTTTCTTGTATCTACGAACGCCAGAATGCATAAAATTGACCTAAACGTCTCCTTTTCCTATTCTGAGTCGATTCTGCATGCTTTAAGTGTGTTTGGTGGCTCAGAACCATCAAAAAACGTTGAAATATAGTTCAAATTCAATAAAAATCGACAAAAATACAGTTTCTAGCTAAAATTTGATGGTTTCGTTGCACTTTCCGAGCCCGTTGGGTATCTGATTGGCTTAAAAGTACAAGAAAACACTTCAAAAGTGACGTTTCTGAAGAATTTTAACAGTTTTCTTGTATCTACGAACGCCAGAATGCATAAAATTGACCTAAACGTCTCCTTTTCCTATTCTGAGTCGATTCTGCATGCTTTAAGTGTGTTTGGTGGCTCAGAACCATCAAAAAACTTTGAAATATAGTTCAAATTCCATAAAAATCGACAAAAATACAGTTTCTAGCTAAAATTTGATGGTTTCGTTGCACTTTCCGAGCCCGTAGGGTATCTGATTGGCTTAAAAGTACAAGAAAACACTTCAAAAGTGACGTTTCTGAAGAATTTTAACAGTTTTCTTGTATCTACGAACGCCAGAATGCATAAAATTGACCTAAACGTCTCCTTTTCCTATTCTGAGTCGATTCTGCATGCTTTAAGTGTGTTTGGTGGCTCAGAACCATCAAAAAACTTTGAAATATAGTTCAAATTCCATAAAAATCGACAAAAATACAGTTTCTAGCTAAAATTTGATGGTTTCGTTGCACTTTCCGAGCCCGTAGGGTATCTGATTGGCTTAAAAGTACAAGAAAACACTTCAAAAGTGACGTTTCTGAAGAATTTTAACAGTTTTCTTGTATCTACGAACGCCAGAATGCATAAAATTGACCTAAACGTCTCCTTTTCCTATTCTGAGTCGATTCTGCATGCTTTAAGTGTGTTTGGTGGCTCAGAACCATCAAAAAACGTTGAAATATAGTTCAAATTCAATAAAAATCGACAAAAATACAGTTTCTAGCTAAAATTTGATGGTTTCGTTGCACTTTCCGAGCCCGTAGGGTATCTGATTGGCTTAAAAGTACAAGAAAACACTTCAAAAGTGACGTTTCTGAAGAATTTTAACAGTTTTCTTGTATCTACGAACGCCAGAATGCATAAAATTGACCTAAACGTCTCCTTTTCCTATTCTGAGTCGATTCTGCATGCTTTAAGTGTGTTTGGTGGCTCAGAACCATCAAAAAACGTTGAAATATAGTTCAAATTCAATAAAAATCGACAAAAATACAGTTTCTAGCTAAAATTTGATGGTTTCGTTGCACTTTCCGAGCCCGTAGGGTATCTGATTGGCTTAAAAGTACAAGAAAACACTTCAAAAGTGACGTTTCTGAAGAATTTTAACAGTTTTCTTGTATCTACGAACGCCAGAATGCATAAAATTGACCTAAACGTCTCCTTTTCCTATTCTGAGTCGATTCTGCATGCTTTAAGTGTGTTTGGTGGCTCAGAACCATCAAAAAACGTTGAAATATAGTTCAAATTCAATAAAAATCGACAAAAATACAGTTTCTAGCTAAAATTTGATGGTTTCGTTGCACTTTCCGAGCCCGTAGGGTATCTGATTGGCTTAAAAGTACAAGAAAACACTTCAAAAGTGACGTTTCTGAAGAATTTTAACAGTTTTCTTGTATCTACGAACGCCAGAATGCATAAAATTGACCTAAACGTCTCCTTTTCCTATTCTGAGTCGATTCTGCATGCTTTAAGTGTGTTTGGTGGCTCAGAACCATCAAAAAACGTTGAAATATAGTTCAAATTCAATAAAAATCGACAAAAATACAGTTTCTAGCTAAAATTTGATGGTTTCGTTGCACTTTCCGAGCCCGTTGGGTATCTGATTGGCTTAAAAGTACAAGAAAACACTTCAAAAGTGACGTTTCTGAAGAATTTTAACAGTTTTCTTGTATCTACGAACGCCAGAATGCATAAAATTGACCTAAACGTCTCCTTTTCCTATTCTGAGTCGATTCTGCATGCTTTAAGTGTGTTTGGTGGCTCAGAACCATCAAAAAACTTTGAAATATAGTTCAAATTCCATAAAAATCGACAAAAATACAGTTTCTAGCTAAAATTTGATGGTTTCGTTGCACTTTCCGAGCCCGTAGGGTATCTGATTGGCTTAAAAGTACAAGAAAACACTTCAAAAGTGACGTTTCTGAAGAATTTTAACAGTTTTCTTGTATCTACGAACGCCAGAATGCATAAAATTGACCTAAACGTCTCCTTTTCCTATTCTGAGTCGATTCTGCATGCTTTAAGTGTGTTTGGTGGCTCAGAACCATCAAAAAACGTTGAAATATAGTTCAAATTCAATAAAAATCGACAAAAATACAGTTTCTAGCTAAAATTTTATGGTTTCGTTGCACTTTCCGAGCCCGTAGGGTATCTGATTGGCTTAAAAGTACAAGAAAACACTTCAAAAGTGACGTTTCTGAAGAATTTTAACAGTTTTCTTGTATCTACGAACGCCAGAATGCATAAAATTGACCTAAACGTCTCCTTTTCCTATTCTGAGTCGATTCTGCATGCTTTAAGTGTGTTTGGTGGCTCAGAACCATCAAAAAACGTTGAAATATAGTTCAAATTCAATAAAAATCGACAAAAATACAGTTTCTAGCTAAAATTTGATGGTTTCGTTGCACTTTCCGAGCCCGTAGGGTATCTGATTGGCTTAAAAGTACAAGAAAACACTTCAAAAGTGACGTTTCTGAAGAATTTTAACAGTTTTCTTGTATCTACGAACGCCAGAATGCATAAAATTGACCTAAACGTCTCCTTTTCCTATTCTGAGTCGATTCTGCATGCTTTAAGTGTGTTTGGTGGCTCAGAACCATCAAAAAACGTTGAAATATAGTTCAAATTCAATAAAAATCGACAAAAATACAGTTTCTAGCTAAAATTTGATGGTTTCGTTGCACTTTCCGAGCCCGTAGGTTATCTGATTGGCTTAAAAGTACATGAAAACACTTCAAAAGTGACGTTTCTGAAGAATTTTAACAGTTTTCTTGTATCTACGAACGCCAGAATGCATAAAATTGACCTAAACGTCTCCTTTTCCTATTCTGAGTCGATTCTGCATGCTTTAAGTGTGTTTGGTGGCTCAGAACCATCAAA